TTTCTGAAGAAGGGTCTAGGCCCGAAACGTCAGCCTTCCTGCTCCTCTGATGCTGCTTGGCCTGCTGTGTTCATCCAGCTCCACACCTTGTTATCTCAGATTCTCCAGCATCTGCAGTTCCTACTAACTATGAATTCATTGTTTGTCGGAAAAACCCATCTGGCTCACTAATGCCCTTTAGGGAAGGAAACTGCCATCTTTACCTGGTCTGGGCTGCATGTGACTCCAGACCCACAGCAATGTGGTTGACTCTTAACTGCCCTCTGGGAAATTAGGGATGGGCAATAAATGCTGTCTGGCCAGTGACACCCTCATCCCGTGAATGAATAAAGGAAAACAAAATCCTTTAATTTCCTCCCTAATGGTATTGTGGATCTACCCACAGTAATGGACTGCCGGGCTTTAAGAAAGCAGCTCACCACCACTTTCTCAACAGGCAGCTAGGGACACCCATATCTCACAAGCAAAATAAAAAGGAATCTTCAACGAAAGCATAATTTGCTGCAGGAAACTCAGCAGGTCTGGCAGCATCTGTGGAGAGAAAGCAAAGTTAATGTTTCGGATCCAGAACTGAAGAAGGGTCACTGGACTCAAAATGTTAACTCGGATTTCACTCCACACATGCTGCCAGACCTGTTGAGTTTCTCCAGCAATTTCTAGTTTTGTCTCAGATTTTCAGCATCTGCAGTTCTTTCATAGAATCGCTACGGTACAGAAGCAGGTCACCTGGCCCATCCAGTCCACACCGATCCTCCAAAGAGCATCCAACCCAGACCCACCCTCCAACCTTATCCCTGTAACCTTGCATTTCCCATGGCTAACCAACCTAGCCTGCACATTCTTGGACACAATGGGTAATTCAGCATGGCCTGCACATCTTTGGACTGTGGGAGGAAACCAGAGCACCCGGAGGAAACCCATGGAGACACAGGGAGAACGTGCAAACTCCACACAGACAGTCGCCCGAGGGTCCCTGGTGCTGCGAGGCACCTGTGCTAACCACCGAGCCACAGTCCTACCTTTCTTTTATTTGAACCTATTCCTTCAGTTGTTTGTTATAGGTACAGTGCAGCACATCTACAGTAATGGGCTGCGAGAATCAGCCTGGACTTTGTGACTAAATGTCTGGAGCAGGGCTCTAACCTATAAGGTTCTTACTCAACTGCAGCCCATCATGCTTTCCCTCCTGGCCTACGTTCTGCTCTGCGTTCGCCTCTCTGTCTCTCAAACAGGGTGGTAGGGAGTAGGGCAGTGTAGTTGCTCTCAGCACCGTTGTTTTAGTTTTGGGGGGTTGGAGGAGGTGGATGAGATAGTGGGTGGCATTGGTGACACCATCCTGGGTCTGGAAAGTATGTCCCCAGTAAAAAGTGAAGGGGTCAGGGACGGAAGACAGGGGTTAGGAGGCCCTGGGCAAGAGGATTCCTGTCAAGGGAATGCTAATGGCAGAGCTGGCGAGAGCATCTGCCTGACCCATTCCCCAAAGAATTCCCCTGGGAAAGGAGAATGGGACAGCAGGGATGTTAATTGCTACTGTGTCCCTGATAAGCAGCTGCTCAGCCTGTCACCCAGAGGAATCCTTCATCAAATTCCACACGGTCTTCCTGAGTGCTCTTAGACCCAGCCCCCACCTTGGGCCCTCACTATTTAACAGATGAGGCCTGGATCTCCTGGGCCTTGGTTGTCAAGGAAACCCTCAGATGGACCCTGGCATCTGCCTGTGTTTGGTTTTCTCTCCAGTCCCCTGGGGGTTGGAAGGTTACCAAGACTGAGAGAGGTGGGGTGGGGGGAGGGAAGGAGGCAGTTAAAGAGGGGAGGCAGACAGAGAGAGGGACAGAGAGAAAGAGAGGGAGGGAGAGGCAGAGAGAGACAGAGGAGCAGGGTGGGGGGGAGGCAACAGAGAGGGAGGGAGAAGGACAGAGAGAAAGGGAGAAAGTAAGTGCGAAGGGCAGGGGGGGGGGGGGGGAGTGAGGAGCAGAAAGAGAGAGAGGGACTGAGAAAGAAAGGGAATGAAGGGCAGAGAGAAGTGAGAAGCAGAAAGACACAGTGTGAGAAGCCAGGGGGGCAGAGAAAGAGAAGAAAAAGAAAAATGAAGTGCAGTGCAGAGGGAGGGAGTGGTAGATGGCGGCGGGGGGAGACAGAGAAAGACACAGAAAGGAAGGAGGGAGAGAGTGAAAGAAGATGACAGAGGGAGAGATGGGAGGCAGTGAAAGTAGGGAGGCATTGAGGCAAAAAAGGGGGACGGCAGAAAGAGGGAAAAGGGACAGAGGGTGACGAGTGAGTAGAGAGAGATTGGGAAGTGAGACAGAGAAAGAGATAGAGACAGGACTGTCAGAGCTGGAGTGAGTGACACTGGAAGTGCAAGAATGCAGCAAGGTTGAATAAAACACCACAGAACAGTCTCATATTTATTGTTTAATAAATACAAACACAGATCAGTAATAGATTGCTGAACAAATAACACTGTTTACAATGAAAATAACTTAAAAACTCAAGTGAATAATACACACAAGGTAGAGCTGGACCTTTATCCGTGACTGTGCTATAGGGAGTTGGTATTACATCTCTCCTGAATTTTATTCCCACAAATTCTCATTGGTTTTCCCAAATACACTCTGAATCCATCCTGCGCAGTTTCTGACTTCACAGCTTTCAGAGGTTGAAGGCGGGATGCCTGTCCCTGCCTCAACCACAAACCACCGCCTTTCCTTCCCTGCCTGAAGGTGTCAAGTCAGTTCCAGCGACCCAGCCCAAGGCAATGGTGGCTGTTCAGCTACAGCAGGAATCGCAGGCATAAACCTAATTGCGAAACCTGTCCCGTGGTCCATGCACAGGTACTTCCTGGGGTGAGGTTCACTGAATTTGGTACACTTAGCCTGCCTTCTGCCCCACAGTTGCCCCCATTCCCCCTTCACCCCCCACCAGCACGAGAAGAAATGATGTCGGGGATGGGTGGGTGGGGAAGTGGTGTTTCTACAGGTAGTCCTAACCCTGGAGAAATGAAGTTAGGGGGGAATTACCAGGTCAAACATCACATGGCCAACTCCACCCCCCCCCCACCATCTCCCCCAGAGAAAGAGTGAGGGGCAGAAGCATGCGTCAGAAGCTGACTGGATTGTGAAACACACACACACCCCCCAACAGTTGAACATCATGTTCACATTCATGGGCGGTGGGAGCATAGGATGGGGGGGCAAGGGGCAAATAAAATCCGAGGATTAAGAAACCAAAACGCCGATGACAAGCGCTCGAGGTGACATGGTGTAGGTGCTGGGCACGGCAGAATTCTGGAGAGGCCCATGAAGCAACAGACTGCAAATTGCAAACAAAAGTGGTTAACTCCCCAGCCCCTTGTGCCTGAACAGGGCAGGGATCACTGACTTGTCTATTCCCATGAAAGGCTATTTATAGAGGCCCGAGGCTCCGGGCTTGTCTAGGGTGCATGGCCTGCGGAGTTTGCGTCTCTGCCCGGCGATGACCCACAGGGAGCAGACACCTCAGATGAAGACGCTGGGGAGGTCAGCCTGCTCCTGGGACAGGGGCCGGCCGTGCAGCGAGCGGTCAAGGAGTAGTTCCTTCTCCCGCGACAGGCAGCGAGCTAGCTCTTTGCGTTTGTAGTTGCGGTAAACCTTCAGGAAGGCCAGCACACCCAGCAGCACCCAAATGGTCCAAATACTCCACAGGCCAAACTGGAGACAAAATCAGAGAGAGAGAATCCAACGACAGACTCAAGGAGAGAGCACCTTTCCCGGGCAAGACTTGCAGTTCTATTCCCAATCCCAAAGAACTCTAAAGCATCACAAAGCCGGCAGGGTACATTTCTTGTAACAATTACAGTGTAGCAAACACAACAGCCAAATCACGTACAGCAAGCGCGCACACATCAACAAGAAGAGATCGTCTCCACCCTTCCAGTAATCACCACTTTGACACATACTGGACAGTGCCTGTTCCCTCAGCGCTGACCCTCCGACAGTGCAGCGCTCCCTCAGCGCTGACCCTCTGCCAGTGCCCACTCCCTCAGCACTGACCCTCCGACAGTGCGGCGCTCCCTCAGCGCTGACCCTCCGACAGTGCCCGCTCCCTCAGCACTGACCCTCCGACAGTGCCCGCTCCCTCAGCGCTGGGAGTGACTGCGTTACACATGGTGCTCAAATTGAAGTAGGCCTCGAACCCATGACCAGGGCATCAGAGCAGGATGTTTACCGAGTGTCCCATTACAGGCTCAGAGCCACCTGACCTGACCCGAAAACACACTGTTTTACCCCAGCAGTGAGCTGTACCTGGGTACGGGGCTGGAGGATGGGCGGTGGAGAGGCGGGTAGTGGGTAGGCCAAAACCTGCTCCGTCTGCCGTGGTTTCCCCGGCAGCGTCTCGCAGTGACACTCACCTGCGCAATCCTGAAGTGGATGTAAAAGGCAGACGTGTCGACATCGAGGTGGAGATTCACCGACTGGATCTCCTCACAACTGCCGAACGGAAAAAGAGAGACAGCTGGAATCAACCCCGGGTGCAATGGAGGTGGGCGTGCGGTCGGAGGCACCCAGCATCCGAGCCTGCTCTGTTGGCTGAACTGTGCCACCCTCAGTTGGTGAGGCCCTCTCTGACTGCTCCCGCACCAGCCTCTTTCTTGATAGAGAACGTTCCGGGCTCCTCACCATCTTGTGAGGAGACAGGTCCTGGTTTCTCTGCTCTGTTTAAGGTTGTAACCCCCATCCTGTTCCCAACCCCGAATGAATCATAGAATCCGTCTGGTGCAGAAAGAGGCCATTCGGCCCATCAAGTCTGCACTGACCCTCCAAACAGCATCCCACCCAGAGCTAACCCACCACCCCATCACCCTGGATGGGGATTTTAACAGTGGATAACCCATCTCGCCTGCACATCCCTGGACACGATGGGCAATTTTCAGCACAGCCGATTCACCTAACCTGCACATCTTTGGACTGTGGGGGTGAAACCCACTGAGACAAGGGAAGAAACATGCAACCTCCACACAGATAGTCGCCTGTGGGTGGAATCGAACCTGGGTCCCTAGCGCTGTAAGGCAGCACTGAGCCACCGTGCCACATGCTGAAGGGTTTCAACATATCAAACTGCTTGGTCCTCTCTCTCTCTCTTCTCTCCCCCCACTCAAACCATCCCTTTCTCTCCAGGCCCTCCCTACTAACCCATAGTGTCAATCTGTTCCCGGTGAACTTCCAAACCATTCCTGTACCCGTTCTCCCTCCACACCCGTCCGCCCTTCAAAGACTTGCATTTCACTAGGTACCCGTTCCCACCTCAGGATGCCCCCAAAGCGATTCTCGAACGGGGAATATTTCTCTTTACAGTGGCTAAGTGGCACAGGTGGCAGCTGGTTTGGGCACAGCAAGATCCCACAGACCGCCCAGTGTTAACGAGAAGATAATGGTGGAGTTGGTTTATGTGGATAATCTTGTGATGTGAACGCATTGGAAACAGTTCAGAGAAGACTCACGTTGGGATTCAGAGTGAGCTTGCCAATTGGATACAAAACTGGCTTAACAGCAGGAGACAGAGAGTGGTGATGGAGGGTTGTTTTTCGGGTTGGAGGCCTGTGACCAGTGGAGTTCAATAGGGATCAGTGCTGTGTCCATTTTTCTTTGTAATTTATATAAACGATTTAGATGAGAATATGGAAAGCGTGATCAATAAGACACCGAAATTTGTGGTAAGAGTAGACAGTGAAGAAGGTTATCTAAGATTACGAAGAGCTCCCAGAACATTACAGTGATTGACAGGCCAGTGATAATATCACTAGCCTCCCCTTCTGTTGCCAGGGTTTGAAAATTGAAGCTGTGAGGAGAGATTGGATAGGTTTGGGTCATTTCCTTAGAACAGAGGAGGCTGAAGGGCTTAATCAAGGTGTAAGAAATAACGAGGGGCTTGGGTAGAGTGGACAGGCAAGTGGCTGGCAGAAGGAAAGGATATGAGGGAAAACCTTTTCACTCAGAGGCTGGTGGGTGTCTGGAATTCACCGCCCAGTTCGGTGTCTGAGGCAGAAACCCCTCAACTCATTTAAAAATGAACCTGGATCTGTCCCTGAAGAGCTGGAACCTGTGAGGCTATGAATCAAGTGCTGGTAAATGGGATTTGAACATGCAGCTAGTTTACTCAGCACAGAGACGATGGCAACTTGTGTAAGATTGCCATGCCTCGGAAAATATGACCTATTACTTTCCAACAGATATCGTGATAGGTCCTTCTGTAATCTTGGAATCAAATTACTGAACCAAACAAAACCACATATTGCAGCTACAGCTACTTGAAATTAATTGTGTTATTGCCTTGTAGCCATCATTCTGCATTTAACCATTGTGTGCAGCAGTATGGAAATAGATGTATTATTACAAACCAATTGACTATAGGAACCAGGAATTAGCGTTGCGCATATTATCATAGGGACTCCTTCTGCGCTGAGGGTTTTTGGTGGTTACATTCAGAAAGAGGGAGGCCGTTTGGTGCTGGTCTTTTGCAGTGTGGGAATCTGGATGGTGAACCGGGCTGTAAAATCACGGACTTACCTCATGGGCATACTGCCGTGGTTGGTGACCACATCACACCAGATGTTGAAACCCACGCTGATCATCACACAGGCTACAATGGTGAGGAACAACACCGAGCAGCTCAGCAGCAGGTTCAGAAAAGCCGAGAAGAACGTGCTGAAAGAGCGAACAAAAAGCACAGGCATCTCTGTCATTACCATCGTGATGCAGACTCTTCGACACTGAGCGGACTTTCTCCTCTTGGGGACCAAAGACCACCCCCCCACCCCACCAACTGTCCTCCTGCCCATCTTGTGCTAACTAGGCCCACCCATACCAACTCCAACACTGCTGCCCGATGAGTCAAAGTGGTGAGCTAACCTCTCTCTGAGGCTGAGATAACAAGGTGTAGAGCTGGATGAACACAGCAGGCCAAGCAACATCAGAGCAGCAGGAAAGCTGACGTTTCGGGTCTGGACCCTTCTTCAGAAAATCTCTCTGAGGCTGGTGTGTGAGCTCAAACTGGGTGACAACCATCCCAAAGCATGGATGCTCCTCTCCATTTACACCAGAGACCTGTAATTCTAGGGCTCTGCACCCCAGGATGCGGTCGAGATAGTTCGTTCGCTGGACACTTTGGGCTGACTGTAGAATGATTTAATTTTAGACATCTGGTATCTGGTTCCTGGCCCGTTAACTAGATAGAGTCATCTTTCTACATCTTTCCTGCAAAAGGGTGGCTCCAACACCAGACACTGAGGGCACAAAGCCAGCAACATTCACGTAGTCCAACAACAACTTACCTTTTGATAGCACCTTTGGCAAAATGAAACACACCCAAGATACCTCGCTCGAACGCAACATAAAGCAAAGGTTGACATTAAATCATTTGAGCCAAAGCTTGGAAAATGGGGTGGATTTTAAGGAGCATCTTACAGGAGAAGGAGGAGACAGGTACAGTGAGGTTTAAGGAAGGAATTCCAGAAATTAGCGCTCCAGGCAACTGAAGGCACAGCTGCCAACAGTTGATCAATGGAAATCGGGGCATGTGCGATAGACTGGAACTGGAAGAGCGCAGAGATCTCGGAAGGTTGTAAGACTGCAGCAGGTTACAGAGATAGGGAGGGGTGTAGGGGCTGGAGGAGATTACAGAGATAGGGAGGGGTATAGGGGCTGGAAGTGGTTACAGTGATAGGGAGGGGTGTAGGGGCTGGAGGAGCTGACAGAGATAGAGAGGGGGTGTCGGGGCTGGAGCAGGTTACAGAGATAGGGAGGGGTGTAGGGGCTGGAGGAGATTACAGAGATAGGGAGGGGTATAGGGGCTGGAAGTGGTTACAGTGATAGGGAGGGGTGTAGGGGCTGGAGGAGCTGACAGAGATAGAGAGG